ACCGCAGCCTCGACCTGCTGGGCTCCGACAATCCTTCGGCCTCAGCCTTCCAGGTAACTGGAACTACAGGTGCGCACTACCACACCTGGCTAATTTTTGATTTATTGTAGAGATGAAGTCTCGCCAAGTTGCCCAGGTGGGTCTCGAACCCGTGGGCTCAGGCAATCCACTCATCTCGGCTTCCCCAAGCGCTGGGATTACAGGCTGAGCCACTGGGCCCGGCAAAGGGCATAATTTAATTGAACTCTTGCAGGGTTATCATGTTGAGCAAGAAATAGACCTTGTGTGAAAAATGGTTCTCAGAAGTAGAAGGTACTCATTAATTCTGTTAATAGTAACAATAAAATTTGGATGGTCAGAGCAGACTTAATTTCTTTAAAAGAAAGAACTTTCTAACAATTGGACTTCTTAAGTTATTGTGAATTTTACATGATTTATAAAACCCTTGACACAGTTCCTGGTGTGTGGTAAGCACTCTAAAACACAACTATTTTTCTTTTCTTTTTTTTAGTTAGTGGTAGAGTTGGAACTAAAATTCTCTTCTGACTCTGTTTAGGGTTGTTTTAGTAACACCATAGGGCAGTGCTTCTGAAATTTAATGTGCGTGTAAATTTCCTGGGAGTCTTGTTAAAATGCAGATTGTGGGTCAGTACGCCTGGCATGGGGCCTGAAAGTCTGCATGTCTAACAAACTTCTGGGTGACAGTGCTTCTCTTGCTCCAAGACACACTTTGAGCAGGAAGACCAGAGGTAACCTTGAAAACTGTTGGTTTCAGCTCTCATTTTGAAAAAAATTTTTATTCATTTGCTCGTTTGTTCAGCAGTGTTTTATTGATCATCAGACATTGATGTTAAAACTGTGAACTCAGACGTATCCCTGCCCTGCCCAGCATGCAATAACAGAGAAACAGAGGGGCCGTTCCAGCTAAGTGTGGTGCGGTCCATGATGGAGTGAATGCAGAGTCCTAAGGGAGTGTGTAGAAAGGTGCCCAACCCTTGTTTTGGGTCAAGAGAGGTTTTTCCTGCAGGAGGAAGGGGAGCTGCCAAGCAGATCAAGAAGTCATAGCCCATGAGGTAGGGGGGTGCCTGTAGAGTGCAGAGTTACAGCGTGATGCTTTAAAGGGGAGGTGTTTCATAGAGTAAAATATCCTGAGAAGACAAAGAAGAAACAACTAAGAATTTCCTAGGAGTCCCATGACCTGAGCAGTTTCATCAGAGTGAGGAGACAGAAGCCGGCTTGCAGGGGACTGATGAAGAGTGAGAAAATGAACACATAGAGGCAGTTGATACCCAGAGATATGGAGGTCGCTTTTCTCGTAGAGTAGGGCCGGGAGCAGAGCTGGGTATGGTGACTCAGTTCTTTCTGACAACTTGTTCTATGTCTTTGAAAACAGGTAAGTCATGTATGGCATGAGGGACGTTTCTCTATGTCCACAACATATAATTTCTTGACCATTGGTAGAAACTGAGAGGTTACTTTTAATTTTGACCAAGTTAGCAGAGGTAAAGAGAAGTGAAAGCTAATTTTTATTTTATTGGATTGAGTAATGGCATGGATGTGGTTTTAGAAATGCAGAGTAATTTTGATGCTTTTTATATTTCACCTTGGCATGACTTGTGTGAACAGTACTTTACTGAGCTAGACTTAGGAGAAACCCTTTTCATATCCATAGGAATTAGGAAGGAGCTTCTCTCTGCCTCCTCCCTACCCCATGTGGATTTTGACTCCTGTATTAGAGGGTCTTTGGGGACCTTTCTTGGGCAGTTACTAGAGTGGTGACAGGAAAAGCCATATTGCAGAAGGTGGGAATTAACCCTTTCCAGAAGCTTGGAGAGAAGCAGAGCATGCTTAGTGACCAGAGGAATCAGTGGAGGCTTCTGTTGTTATTTTATTTTTTTAAAGATAGGAGAGACTTTTTTCCCCAACATTTTATTATTTAAAAAATCAGGCACAGCAAAGTGAAAAGAATTTTATAATGAGTGCCCATATACTCAGCTACTTAGATTCTATTAACATTTCCCACCTGTCCATTATCAGTGTGTCTTATATTTTTTATATGTTTTAGTTGAAATTGCAAACATCGGTATGCTTCTCCTAAATACTTCAGCATGCATATCTTTAATATGGTTATAGGTTTCTTTTTCTTTTAAGGTTAAATTTATATGCAATGAAATATAGAAATTGTAAGTCTACATTTGCTAAGTGTTGCAAGTGTATTACCTGTGTTACCCAAACCCCTATCAAGAGCCTTTGTGTCCTATCTTGTCAAAATCTCATGCCTGCTTTTCTGATTTGGTTCCACCATGGATTAATTTTGCCTGTATTAGGCCTTCAGATAAATGGAGTCATACAGTATATTCTCTTTTGTGTAAACTTTTTTTTACTCAGCATAATGTTTTTGAGATTCATACGTGTTGTTAGGTGAATCAACAGTCTGTTATTTTTATTGCTGAATAGTATTCCACTGTATGGCTATGTCACAATTTTGTATTTATTTTGTTATTAATGGTCACTTGGGAAAAAGGTCATATGAACATTTATGTGCGAATCTTTGTGGGAACATACATTTTTTTTCTCTTGGTAAGTAGCTGTGAGTAGAATGCCTGTGTTAGAGGGTTATTAGTTTTATAAAAATTTGCCAGGACTTTTTCCAAAGTGGTTTAACATTTTATATTCCCACCAACCAGTTTAATAGTCCTAGTGGATCTGTATCACTTGAGAATATTTTAATAATGAAGGAAGAGGCCAATCTCAGAGTAAGAGGGTTCCTCGCCTATGTTTGGAAATCTTTATACCTTAGTAAGTCTATTTATGAATGTCTAGCCTGTTTAATGCTTGATAGTACAGTAGAATGTGATTTTTGATCATCAGTTCTGTTTGATCCTGATTGCAGATTTTGATATGATATGGAATTTGTAAGTAAGTTTCTTTAAAAACTGAAGTCAGCTTGCTTTGCTTTTTTTTTCCTTCCAAAACAAGGTTTTTTCCTCTGCAAGGAAGATCAGAAGAATTTAAGTTGGACTGAGAGAATTATGGGAGTAATTGACTGAATGTAGGAATTCAGAAAATAAAACTGTTGAGCTAGAACTATAAGCATCTTCATATGTTCAGCATGCTCAACAAGTGACCTAGCACTTTAATAGCTTCATGCAGAACTAACCACGTCATTGGTGAGATGTGGTTTGGTGTAATTTTGAAATAGCTTTGGTTGATTCTCTTTCTGAGAGTGGCCACATTTCCTCTTATCTTTTATTTAGTTAATTCAGGTATCCCATGACTAGAATTTTTGTTTTTCTGGAGAACTGAGAACTGACTCTCTTGAGAACTTTGTACTGTCCACATTGCAGAATGCAGAAGCTTTGGATTGCTTCTTTAAAGACTTAGGGATTTATGCAGTCTTTATAAATAACTGTCCTTCATTTCCAAAAGCATAAAGTTATCGTCAGGCAAGCATGATCTCTTCTCATTAGAGATGAGGACTTTTTATCAGCAAAATGACATTGTTGCTGGGATTGTCCATCTCAGATGTGTGACAGCCCAACAAGAAGAGGTTTATGCCTTATGCTAAATAGGAAACGTGATGCATAAATGGGCACACCATAAATTTTATTTATTGCTTTCTCCCTGTTTGATATTTTTATTTACATCAATAACTATTTTCCAAAAACTTGTTACTGTTATATAATCTGAATATGAATTTAGCAAAGGCAGGAGTGGTGGGAGCATAATAGAGAGCATATTTAACTTACAACAGTTCAGGAGAGGCTGTGTAAGGACAAGGGGAAATGCCTTTAGTTATTTCTTAAAGAATTCAGCCCTAAATTATGCTTGACCCAGGCAGCTGTGTGTGATTTGCCAGAATTAGCAACCCTAACTTTGGCTAATTTTTATTTCATGGCTTTGGCATTTGTTTCTGCCTCTTTTTGTTTTTTGTTTTGCTTTTAAAAAAAAACAGACATCAATAACTTATTCATGCATATTCATGCTGCACACTTTTTGGGTTGCATTTTCACATCATTCCATGCTTCATGTAGCTTTTGGCTAGCAAGGAAGATGAGGACACAATCAAAATTGGAGAGGATGATGAGCATAACATCCCGAGTGACCAGCATCTGGAGCAGAGTAATGAGGTAGGAACGTGGCAGTTAACTCTTTATTCCATCCACCCCACTCTGTGCCCAAGCCAGTCTTTCTAGTCTGGAATGAATCCAGTGAGTTTCCTGTTTATTCTGCCTATATTGAGTGCCTACTGTGTGCCAGTGGAAAGCAAAGAGACTAGGTCTCTTCCCTCTTAGAAGTTACAAACTAGCCGGGCTTGGTGGCTCAGCCTATAATCCCGCGCTTTGGGAGGCTGAGGTGAGTGGATTGCCTGACCCGCCTGGGCAACTTGGTGAGACCTCACCTCTACAATAAATCAAAAAAAATTAGCTGGGCGTGGTAGCGCACACCTGTAATTCTGGCTACTCAGAAGGCTAAGGCGGAAGGATCGCCGGAGCCCAGCAGGTCGAGGCTGCAGTGGCCAGAAGCAGCCACTGCACTCCAGTCTGGGTGACAGAGTGAGACTCCAACTCAAAAAAAAAAAAAGTTACAAACTGAGTGAAGTATGAAAACAAACATAGTGACAAATAAAATGGGGTGGTGATAAGAGAATAATAGGCATTGGATGTTGGACCTAGACTGGTTAGAGATCTAATCCAACCAATACATTTTATGCATTGGAAACTAAAGCCTGTGAGGGGAAATGGTTTATCCAGGGCACAGCATAAGTCAGTGACAGAATTGGGACAAGATCCCTTATGTCTAAGCTGCTGTGAACTTCAGATCACTTGATTGTAGTGTACAGAGCTACTGATGGAAGCTTCCCAGGGGCCCTCTACAGTCCTCCTGACCTGAAACCCAACTTCCAAGCTTAGTGTCATCAGGACATTGTGAGAATTTGACCTCCGTTCACACAGAACACTCTTCTAGTCACATTGACTGAACATTTGGACCAAGCAGTCTCCCAGGTTGAAAGAACCCTAAAGACTGAGCTGTAGTAGGGGGGTAAGATGCTATAGATTTGGCCTTCATGGCCTTCATGGACTTCAAGTTTGTGAAGTCATAAATGTGCGATATTAAAATGTAGATAGTTGGGGGGGCATACCTCATCAACAAGGGTACCTGCACAACGAATACTTGTATACCTAACCCTGAATTGTACCCCACAATTTTAAAATATAAAATTAAAAAAAAAATTTAGATCATTTTGGAGAGCAAAGAAATTAAAAGTGGTGGCTTTGGAGTCAGATATCCTTCATTTCAAGTCTGGCTTTCGCACCACTGTCTCTGTGACCTTGCTTAACCATTGCTTAACCTCTAAGCCTAAGTTTCCTTGTCAGTGAGGATACTAATACTTCCTTTTAGGATTACTGTGATGTTTAAATAGAAAGTCATGAATAAGCTGGATACGGTTGCTTATGCCTATAATCCCAGCACTTTGGGAGGATGAGACTGGAGGATTGCTGGAGGCCAGGAGTTTGAGACCAGCTTGGGCAGCATAGTGAGGCCTCATCTCTAAAAAAAATAAATTAACTGGGCATGGTGGTGCACATCTATACTTCCAGCTACTCAGGAGACTGAGGTCGGAGGATTGCTTGGGCCCAGGTGTTAGAGGCTGCAGTGAGTCATGATTGTGCCACTGCACTCCAGCCTGGGCAACAGAGCAAGACTCTGTCTCTAAAAACAAAAACAGAAAGGCATGTAATAAGTGCTCAGTAAATAATAATTACTATCTTTATTGTTATATTCTGGACTTTTCCTTTTTATTTGGAGGTTGCTTATTTGATGGATTTAATAACTATATCGGTGGCAAACAAGGCCCATAAATAACAGCTCATTTGTGTGGGTCTTGTCTTCTATTTAAAAATCTTTATCATTTTACCAGTGTGGAGAGATGGGTGTTATGGCTAGTGCGTATATCACTAGCTGTAATGAAGTCAAGAGGAATTATTTATAGACTGGTAGATGAAAATTTACAGCTTTGGGTAGGGGAGAAAGAATGCTAATTGCAGCACCTCAAGACTTGCCCAGCACAGGCTTTAACTAGATGCTTCCTTGGTACCACTCCTCCGGGACTCTCAGTGACCCGAGAAGGTGGATCTGTAAATAACATCTCTGTGGGAATTAAGAACTCTTCACCTTCCTAATGAGACAAATCAAAGCTGTGTTAATTAGTATGTGTCTGTAAAGAGTAAGTCACCTTTCTGATATCTAATAGGAAGGATACATTGCAAGAAGAGTCTAATAAACATCCACATCATGCTTTATGACAAGGGCTCCGTACCCTTCTTAGGAAGAACTGACAAGGAGTGGGTCGCAGGGTGGGAGAATGTGCATCCAGTGTGCATTTGTAGTGAGTGAGATGCTTCACCTGATGTAGTCATCTCATTTCACTTTCCTGCTTACCTTGGGAGCTACCATTACTGTCCCCATTTTATAGAAGAAGCAGCTGAGGGTGAGGAGAGGCCATGTTAGCATCTTTATCGTCTTTTTAGAACATCTCCCTCTGTTAAAGTGAGTGTGTATGTACCTGTGTGCCTGTGGCCTTCTCTCTTCCCCCTCCAGCTCCCTGTTTCATTTTTCCTCTTTCTCCCTAGCTCAGTATATCCGGCTTACTTGCACTCACTCACCCTGTGTTTCCTTTCTCTCCCTTACTCATACCCCCTTCCCCTCCTCCATGTTCCGTTATTTGACCAAATACTTTCACTTACAGATTATGGAGGATTGTTCCAAAGAGGGCTGCAAAAATGGATATTTAAGGCACATGGAGTCCAAGGTTTTAGACTGCAACGGGGCCCACAAACCTGGCTGCCCTGGAGACCAGAGTCTAGAAGAAGACGAGCTCATGAACCTGCTTGCTCCTTTCTTCAATGAGAAGGCCATGCTGTTACTGGAATCCAGGTAGACAAGGGGCCCAGACATTGCCTCTGCTCTCTAATTTGAAGGGGGAACAAAGTCATTTTGCTAAGTGGATTTAGATGATGGTGCTGTGTAATTTACCTGAGAGAGTTCCTGAAATGACTTGGAAGGAATCTTGCCAGTCATGCAATTAAGTAATTAGGCTGCATGCTCGTTGCTGTGAGGGGACTTCAGCAAAGCTTCATGCAAAGCCCATTATAAAGAGGAGAAAGAAAACTTTCCTTGTAAATTATTCCTGGGAGCCCCAGAAAGTGCTGCCTTGCTGTCAGAAAGAAGAATCAGCCCTACTGGAATTGCTTCCAGTTTCTACAGCAGCTTAAAAAATACCATTGTAGTTGTGACTCTGCTGCTTTATGTTGAGCTTGAATTAAAATTCTCTTCTCATTAAATCTGCTGGGAGTCATTCCTATGTGAGGAAATACTACAGGTTGTTTTTCTTAAAAAGGAAAAACATTCAGTACATCTGTATTTTTTAAATTAATCCTTTAGGAGCAACCCCCCCCCATATTCTTTGTGAACTATCCATAACAGTTGCTTGGGCTTTGGAGCCAGAAACAGCATACCTTTATCTCTCAGTGCCTCAGTTTCTCTGAACACTTCTTAGAATTGCTGTAGGGAGTAAGAAAAAAATGTTTAAGAAAAATGGCTGGCATGCGGTGTGTGTTCAATAACAGTTTTCAGTTCTCTTCCAGGATAGAGAAATGGAGTGAGTAATTATTGCCCATGTCTCTGGCAAGAGCCAGGAACCCTAATATTTCTTATATCGTTGATGGACTAAATCTTATGCGCATTTCTCCAGCTAAGAAAAGGATTGAAGCATTCTACTTTTTGTGAGCTCAGCAAGGCTACTACTACAATCCCTCCCCCACCCCATCCCTGACATCTGTCTAACATTTTTTTAGCATGAGGCCTCTTGGTGGATATGCTCAATGGTTATTCTAGTTTGTTATCATGAGTAGTTAGGTGACTATAGTCAGTGCTTGAGAAGTGAAGGATTTCTAAACATCAGGTCCCAAATTTTGCATCAGAGTTAAAAGATACTACTTTCTCTCTGAGCCCATGTGGGTATGTACTTGGTGGTGTGAGCCAGGGAGAGTGTCATGGGCTGGGTGGGGAGATATGGTAAATTGGGGTGGAAGGTGTGCTCCTTTCTGGTGGACAGGAGCTTTTCAGCTTCAGCTGATGGTTGGTAATGAGATCTGATCTTTGCTCTGCCACTTTGCAGGGGATCCTAAATCTTTATGAACGCATTTCTTCATCTGTAAAGTGGGGTTAATGATAGTTTCCATCTCACACTCTTATTGTGAGGATTTGGTGTATTTAAAGGATCTGGAATGTAGTAAATGCTTAGTAAATGTCAATTTCTTTCCCCTTATACCTTCTGCTTGCAGAGATACTAAGGAAGGGTATATTAACAATATTCGGACCTCTGAGAAGACCCTTGGACAGAACCATTCAGAAGTTCTGATTATGGTGATAGCTTGTGAATCCATTGTTCAGATTTCTAGTAATACTTGGAATATTTTATTTAATAGCACCACCACTTTAGTCTATTATAATGGCCTCTTTCACAACCTTTTACTACCTAATTGTTAAATCTTTTTCCTGGGTTTTATCGTGTGTTGTTTGGTGGTGAGTAATTGTCTTTCTTTGGCTAGCTGAATAACAATTGTCATTATTTTTTATCTGTATTAAAGAGAGGAAAGGAAAATTTAGTTTAACAGCCCCTAAAGCTTGAAATACTAGAAATATTTTTAAAACCTAGGTTTACTATAGTTTAAGATGGTTTGTGTGGTCTAGATGATTCCACATTGGAAGTGAAAAATGCATACTTTTAAATTTTGTTATTTATGCTTTTAAAAATAATCTTATTTCAGTGAGCTTTTGTAGTTGTTTAATTTGAATTGAGTTGACTCTGCCCCAATCCAGACAATAGAAATCCAGATGTGAAGAGGGCTATATTCCTGTTCTTGGAGGGCTCAGCGGGGAAGATAGCATAAGGGTGCCCATCATGTCCAGTGGTAGCAGCAATCAGAAGAAGGGAAGGTCAGGGTATATTGAAGGAGCTGGTAGATTCTGGTCTGTTTCACATGGTTTCCTGAAATTGGGCAGATAGGAGAAACTGACAGGAGAAGAGCACAAAGAGCTAACACTGATGAGGGCCTGTCTTTTTTCTCTGCTGACTGCCTCATCCAGACCTGCCTCTTCTTTTCCTGGAAGTTATTATAGCAACAGTTCTGACTGATCTCTGCCTCTGAGCTTGCCCCCCTCCCCAAGTCCTCAGTCCCGTTTCCCGTAATTTTCTGTATCAATTTTGTAGTGTCTTTTTTCATGAATTTGTTTTCTTCTTTTGTTTTGTGCATGATTTAAACATACTTATTTTTAAATCTTCCTCAGATTGCTTTATTTTTTCTATTTCCTGAAGTGTGAATTCTATCATTTATTGGGCTGTTGTCTTTTTTAATAGTGAGTTTTTGTTTGAAGTTTGGTTTGTGTGTGCTAAGAGCCCTGTGCTGTCCCTACTCCTTCTCCTTTCTGTGTGGTGATTTTGAAGTTACCTCACCTTGGCCCTCTAGGGCCTTATTTCAGGGCTCATGGAATTTGTGTTGTTCTTCTACCATGGGAGGGAGTTTCTGGCCCTGTTGCCTTCTGAAGATGCCCCCGATTCCAGCCCCTTTCTTATGGCTAAGGGTGTCTTCCTCTGTTTTTGATATTTGAATACATTTTTCTTGATGTTTTTGAGCCCTGTAGTGTCTCTTAAAGTATTTTTTAGTTATGTATATTTTTCTGTCATTTATATGTGATTAAACCAGTTGCAAGGAGCTCCTGTGTGTACTCACCATTATCTTGACAGGAAATTTCTCCATTCATTCTTTACACAACAGCAGCCAGAGTTGCCTTTCCAAAGTACATGTGTGACCAGGCTACTCTATCACAGGGCCTTTCAGTGGCTTTCCTTTTTTCAGCATGGCGTGCTAGGCTCTTCATTTCTCCCCTGCCTAGCTTTCCAGCCTCCCCTGCTACTTCGCCACTTCACTGTTCATGTTGTGTTCCATACTTAGACTATTCCATTCCCTCTCCCTGCGGTTTGCCTTGCATTGATGTTAGAGGCCCTTCGTGGACATTCTCCCTGTCACCTTCACTTTGGACATGCTGAGACGGTTGCTCTGTAAGCCTCACCATCTGTTTACACATGTATCTCTAAAACCAATCTAAGTCATTGTGGGCAGTTTGTACCCTGGTACTCACTCAGTGCCTGGCATAAGGGAGTCTTCTTGAACTACTACACACTGGACACTGTATGAGGTGCTTTGTTGGCTTAGCTTTGGTTTCCTGGGAAGTAGAGCCTGAGATGCAGACTTGGGTACAAGGGATTTATTTGAGGTGTGACACCAGAGAGCAGGAATGAGGGCTTAGGAGGAGTAAGATAGTGATGAAAGATAAGCCAGTAAGAGTACAATATTGATCTGGTTGCTGCGGTGGGCTGCAAGGGCTCAATCCTTCTGGGCACCCTTTGAAGGACCGTATAGACTGTGCCTATGTTGTTCCTCCAAAGGATGGGAGACAGGGTCATTTACCCAATAGCTCTCTCACCCCGCTGGTTGAGGGTTTCCTCCAAAACATAAACTATTTCACACTTCCACATTGCCTTGCTAACTGAATCAGAGAGCTCTGTAAGATTCCCCAAGGTGGCAGAGATGTAGAAGGTGCTTGAGGTGGAGATGTCTATGTCTACGAGAACTGTCTCCATAGCTGCAACTGAAACCAGAGGTGGGCCAAGGTCATGTGGAAAGGGACTTGAAAAGCATCTGCTGCCTATACACTATCTTGTTTAATTCTCATCCTGTCTTGTGGAGGAAGACTTATCTTCCTTTCAAAGAATTGCAGAGTTGAAGCCATTTTTATCTGCCTTCAAAATTTGTATACTTTCTACTATGCCTATATACAAACATTCCCTTCATTAATATCTATTTATTGGGCACCCATTATGCATCAAGATGAATCAGATTATTGATGGACCAGCCAGGTTTGCTGGATTCATCCAAAGCCAAACTTGCCCCTGGATGTAGAATTGGGGCCGGGGCTGTGGGGTGGAGCAGGGATCCTGTAATTGTCACGGATGCCTTATGATCCTGTTTGTTCCTACCTAGGCCCAGCCTGCATTCATGTATCCATGTGCCCCACTCACTTGCTGTGTACCTTGTGTCACTTAATTCTACTCTTCTTATCCATAAAATAGACACAGTAGTACTTGCCTTGTTTGGTTGTTAGGAGGTTACAGGGATAAAATACTTGGTGTGAGTCCTGGCACATTGTGCGTATACACCATGTTTAGTTTAGATGGAATCTATCTGGGCAAGAGTCGGTGGGGATAACTTGGGCTGCTGGTTGGGCACAAGGCTGTAGCAGAAAGCTTAGTTCTCCCACTTCCTTCCCTTTTGGAAAAACAGACCAGACCTTTTGAAAGTGCTATGGGAGCAAATATGCTTGACAGAGCAGGAATTTTCTGGAGAAAACCTTGAGAAGACACTTAAGAAGATAGCCATTCAGCTAAGAGGTGAACTTGGACATTTTGTCCAAGTCAACTCATTCTCCAAGCCATGTGATGAACTGAAGTCATCTAGGGAGGCCTGGCTCATGAAGGCTGGTGAAGTGTCCAAGGTAGAGCAGAAAGATTCATCTGTGCAGACTGTGGCCATGGAGGGCGACCTGCTCAGATTCACTCACGAAGGAAACAGAGAAGCTTGGAAAGAGAAATCAACCAACGCTGTATTCTGTGCCAAGCATCAGCCAGAGAACCTGTGCAGGACACCAGAGCGACAGGCCACTCCCTTCTCCTTCCCCAGGATGACCAACAGAGTAAGTGTTTCCAGGTATTTATTATGTATTTCTTTTAGACAAAGAAAAGAGTTTAAAAATTGCTTCCAGTCCCACTACTTTTTTCATTTATGTGAAGAGAAAGTCCGATATCTCCCTCTGCCTGCACTTATCCTGGCCTCCACCCAGAGGTGTGCGTCCTCCTTAACCTTCCCCTCACTCTGTGTCTTGCCTCTGTCTTGCCTCCTCCGTCCAGCCCTATCTCACCTATGTGTATATCATGACGCATATTTGTTTTTCTTAGAATAAACACACATGGGATCATGTTTATATATCTGTCTGTAGCTTTCTCTTTTATATGATGAGGAATATCTTTCCATGTAATAGCTGCATGATTCCATTGTGGTAATGTGCCAGAATTTATAGTTTTTATCTGTTGATGGACATTTGCTTTTGCAGGTTGCAGCAAAATTGTAATAACCTGATTTTAGGGATAGTAATAAGAACTTAGATTTTGTTTTGTGCAGACTTTGTGTAGAAGAGGGATGTTGTCTGTATTCTCTTATCCTTGTAACACTTGTCAAAGACAGGGAAGCCAGATCTGCGTGCTCATGCTTAGTCAGCAGTTAAGGGGCTAAGCTGGGACTCCCACAGTGCCTGACTACACAGCCACACCCTTTGTCTAGGTCAAGCTACCTTTCAGGTGTGTGGTCTAAAATGGTCAATTCTAGTTTTGTTGGATGAATGTCTGCATGTTGATTCTTCTTTAGTCTAGATGCTGTCTCTAAGCTTCTCTGCAAATACCATCAACTATGCTAGATTGTTTAAAAAAAAAAAAAAAAATCAGAATCCCTTCTCCCTTGGCAATGCTTGATTGGACCTTTACCAAAATCCTCTTGGGTGTAGGGTATGGGGCTAAGAATCCCAGTAGCAGGGAGGTGTATTCTGCTACAGAAGGAAATAGGTCATGTTTCTAATAGAGCACCAGGCTCTATTAGAAAGTTGTTGGTATTCTTGTTTCTGATGGGTGTTTTGTGTCTGAGGAATCAACTGTACACACTGCTTTATAGCATCAGAATGGAGAATTAAGTTTATTTTCTGACCACTAAATTACTGCTTTTGTGCATACCAAAGAGAGTTAGATATATCATTAGCAAAATTGCTTTTGATTGTTTTAAATTATGCACCAAAACTGTAATTTCTAGAAAAGGGTTTTTCTAAAGATACCAGTAGAGACCAAAAAAAAAAAGAAAGATACTGTCATTATATTAATGGTACTCGAAATGCAAATTTGTGCAGTTTGGCTAGAATAGAAATGCTCTCATCTGCCCTAGCTCTTTTAGTTTGTGCCTATATATTAGGAAAACTAAGTGGTTTTTGTTTGTTTGCATTTTTCTATTGTGTGGGAGATGTTATTCTGTGTTCAGGAAAATTGGAGAATTGAATTCCCCCAAATATATTAAATTTTTTTTAGTTTGAAATTATCTTTCTTGCTTATATCTCATAAAAGGAAAGCAGCTGTGTTTATTTATTTATTATTATTTTTACCATCTGCTGTATGTGCCAGGGATTGTGCTAGATACTCTCCTTATATCATCTCACTTACTCTTTTCAACAAAAATATGAGTTTGATAGGTATTGCCTGCATTTTACTTATAGAGAAATATAGGTGCTAAAAGGCTCAGAAGGCTGGGCATGGTGAGTCACACCTGTAACCACAGCACTTTGGGAGGCCAAGGTGGGAAGATTGCTTGAAGCCAGGAATTCGAGACCAGCCTGGGCAACAAAGCAAGACCCTCAACTCTACCAAAATGAAAATAAATAAATAAAAGGCCTAATAAAACTGTCCAGAGTGACTTAGTTGCTAAGTGGAGTGATAGGAACATAAATTGAAGTTTGGTTTTAGAGGCAGAGATATTACAAACTTACCTTTCTCAGGAAGGGAGGAACCCTCTTATCGCCATTGTGGCCTCCAGTCTCTGCAAAGTGGAAGGAAATTTAATGATATTCTTTGTGGTCTTTGGTAGGCAAGGAGTCAGTAATACCATGGTTTACCTCTTTGAATAGGGCAATCTGGTATCTTGTTAAAAGGAACATCACTGCAGCCTAAGGGTGAGACAAGGAGATTGGCTATCCTTCCAGTTGCTTAGTGGTAGAGGCAGGAAGAAGGACTTTACAGATGGACTTTATATGTGTTTGCACTGAGCCTGGCCACTTACCTGCTTTGATGGTAAGTCACTTGACCCTTCTCAGCAGCTCAAGTGGTATCCCTGTGGGCCTAGAACCTGAGTCTGGCACGATGGCTGAATGAGGTAATGTGTGGCAAATGTCTAGTGTGGTGCCTTGTACGTGGTAGGTGCCTTGTACAAGTGTGTGAGTTCCTGTTTCCCTTCCATTCCCAAGTAAGAAGTTCTAATATGACATCTTTAATTCCTTAATAAGGTGGTAGGTGGGGCTCTGTTCAGAATCCATAAGGTAACATTTTGTGTGGTGTTATTTTAGGACCGGCATTAGGTTGACTGACGGCAGTCTTCCAGCCTGAAATTGGCTTTGGCATTTGTGCACTTGCAGATATCTTTTCTGCTGCCATATGACACACAGATTTAGATCCAAGAATAAAGATTGGTGGAGACTAAGGACCGAACAAATGACTATTATTTTCCAGCCCTTTTTGCTGAAGCATCCATCTCCTCCCAAGTGGTCCCCCTTCACTACTTTAGACTGTTCTTGTCCTTGAACCTGCTCTCTCCTATTCCCTGGAATTTTAGGGCAGAAAATATCTCACCTTTCTTAACTGAGCACGGGAGCCTGAAAAGCTAGTTTGAGGTCTGACTCTTGAACCCTTGCTATGTGACATTGGACTACTTGTTTGACGTCTGGGTTCTTCATCTGGAAAATGAAGGCATGATAATTTCTGTTTTCCTGTAAGCTCTAGAAATGCAGAACTTACCATAGGATTATGAGAGAATGTGCTTGAAAGCATTTTATATCCCAAAATGGGCAAGAAGGGGCCCTTACTCTTCTTTTCTTCTTGAGAGAACTTGGTGATCCTTGAGTTCCATGTAGTTCCTGTTTTCCTCTGCAGTGCCTTTTTCTCCCCTGTTAAAAAAATTTTTTTGATGACAGTTTTATTGAGATATAATTCACATAGCATACAATTCATTTATTTAAAGTGTGCAATTCATTGGTTTTTTAGTATATTCACAGAGTTGTATAACCATTACTACAATCAGTTTTAGAACATTTCCCATTATCCCTAAAAGAAACCATGTACTACCACGTACTCTTTAGCAGTTACTTCCCATTTTCTCCCATCCCCAATCCTAGGCAACCACTAATCTATTTTCTGTCTCTTTAGATCTGCGTATTCTGGGTATTTCATATAAATGGAATTATGCAAAATGTGGTCTTTGGTGACTGACTTCTTTCACTTAGCAAAGTGTTTTCAAGGTTCATTCATGTTGTAGCATGCATCAGTACTTCATTTATTTTTAATGCCAAACAGTATTCCATTGCATGGATATACCACATTTTATTTATTCATTCATCAGTTAATGTACATTTTAACTGCTTCCACTTTTGATTATTAGGAATAATGTTGCTGTTCATGTACTGCTTTTTTGGGTGGACATACTTTCATTTCTCTTAAGTATATACATAGGAGTAGAATTGATGGGTCACATGGAAACTCCATGTTTAACCTTTCTGAGGAATTGCCAGGCAGTTTGCTAAAGAGGTTGCACCCATTTTACATTCCCACCAGCAGTATGTGAGAACTCCAGTGTCTCCACATCCTCACCAACACATACTGTTATCCTTTTGATTTTAGCCTTACTAATTGTTATGGTGGTGGTATTTTATTGTGATTTGATTTACATTTCCTTGATGACTAGTGACGTTGAGCATGTTTTTATGGCCATATGTATCTTCTTTGGAGAAATGTCTGTCAGATCTTTTGTTCATTGTTTAATTGGATTATTTGTTTTTCAACTAGTGAGTTGTAATTGTTCTTTATATATTGTGAGTTCAAGTCCCCTCCTTAGCTTTTGGATATATTTAAAATTCCCCACTTGAAAGACACCCGTTTGGCCTCTTAAGTTATTGTTTGTATGTTCATTCCTTATATAGTTGTCAGTTACCTGCTGTGTACTAGTTCTTGTGCTAGAAGCTATGGAGAGAGTATAAGCAAGATATGCAGAGTCCCTAAATCCTGGAGCTTACAGACTGTTGCAGAAGATAGACAATGAACGAGTAATTGCACGGGCATTTATTTATACTGATACTAATGGTCTCTGAGAAAAATTGTAACAGACAGTGAATTGTATCACAGGGAGACCTGACCTGTTCTTGGAAATCAAAACCCATTCTCAGGCTGGGTATGGTGACTTACGCCTGTAATCCCAGCACTTTGGGAGGCAGGGCTGAGAGAATTGCCTGAGCCTAGGGGATTGAGACCAGCCCAGACAACTTGACAAGACCTCTCTTTAATAAATAAATTTAAAAAATTAACTGGATATGGTGGCATGCACCTGTGGTTCCAACTACTTGGAAGGCTGAGGTGGAAGGATCACCAGAGCCCAACAGGTTAAGACTTTGGTGGCCATGAGCATACCACTACACTGTAGCCTGGGTGACAGAGTGAGACTCTGACTCAAAGAAAAAAAAAAAAAGCCCATTCTCCTGAGTAAGGCACATTTGTGCTGAGTCCTAATGAATGATTTGGAGTTAGTAGGGGGAAATGGGAGGGAATGAGTGTTCAAGCAGAGGAGTCAACATATGCTAAGGTCCTGAGGTGGAAAGAACATGGCATTTTGAGGAATTGATCGAAGGTTATTATGGCTGGATAGTAGGGTAAAGCAGGACTTTATAGGCTGTGGTATGGACTTTGATCTTTGTCATAAGAAAACTGGGAAACAAAATAGTTTTAAACAGAAGAGAAGAATAGTAGGTTTGCCTTTTTGCTGCAGCCTGGAGAATGGGTTGGAGAGGACAAAAGTTAATGTGTAGAGACCACTCAGGAGGACATTGCTGTGGCCTGAGCAAGAGCTAACAGCATCTTGGAGTTGGGTGGTGGCAGTGGAGGTTGAGAAGAGTTGAAAAATTGGCAGCGTGGGGGTTGTAACTCATGGAACCTGCTGCATGATGAAAGTGAGTGATGAGAATAGTGGGAAGTGGGTGATGTGTGGTTCATCAGGACAGAGATTGCTGAAGTGGTATAGATTTGCGGTGGGGGCATGGGGTAATGGAACTGAAGAGCTGAGTTTTCAGTTGACTTTGGAGTGCCTGTGAGCCATCACAAACCGAGGTGTCTGGGATAGGCAGGTTGGGAGCTCCAAGCCTGAGAAGTATCCATTGGGTCAGTGACCAGTAACTGATGAAGTAAGGGATGGTTCTGGTGAAGTAGTATGGGTGGGAAGCAGATTGGCTTAGACTGAGAAGTGGTTGGGAAATGAGAAAATAGATAAGGAACAAAAAAGTTTCCTAGCAGATTGTGTTGGAAAAAGAACTGTTACCTATGGAGCATCTGGGTTGTCCCGGAAGACAGTGGGCCAAGGCCAGGAGGGTGTTGAGGAGAAGCTTGGCCCTTGACAATCAGAGGAGGGACCTGCCAAGCTATAAACTCTTTGGTGGATAAACTTAAATGCCATTATAGGAACCAGAAGTCTGGGCAACCAGTTTGAATCTCATTTTATAAGGTTGGCATGAGTATGTTGACTGTGTAACCAAAGAAAGTGCATTCAAAGTATATTCATTGTTGCATATGTGTGTGTTTTCAGGATGCTAAGAAGTCCCGCTTGCCAATCCTAATAAAACCGTCCCAGTCATTAGGAAGTGTGTATTGTTTCCCTGCCACTCAGGATGTGGTGGCCCAGCTGCAGGGCCAGATCGTGGAGCTGCAGGAAGAACTGAAGGAGTTTAAAACTCAAAATAAGCAACTTCACCAAAAGCTAATTCTGGCTGAAGCAGTGATGGAGGGGAGACCAACACCCGACAAAATGGCACTGAATGGTAAGCACCAAGAAAAATGTGTTCCCCATGAGCTAGATGAACAACCCAATAGAACTGCTTGAAATGTCAACCTTGTTGTTTAGAATTGCGTAAGTTTGAGTATAAATTTCCTGAATTGCGATGATTAATCTTAATCCTTGACAAATGCACAAAGGAGAGAACACAATAAGGAGAATGAATCTATTGCTTTCATTTTTTTTTTTCCTTTTCTATTTCTTTTTTTTTTTTTGAGTTGGAGTCTCACTCCGTTGCCCAGGCTGGAGTACAGTGACACACTCACGGCCATCCCAGCATCGACCTACTGGGCTCAAGAATCCTTTCCTCAGCCTTCCAAGTAGTTGGAACTACAAGCATGTGCTACCATACTCAGCTAAATTTTGATTTATTGTAGAGATGCCGTCTCGCCAAGTTGCCCAGACTGGTCTCAATCCCATGGGCTCAGGCAATGCACTCACCTTGGTCTCCCAAAGTGCTGGGATTACAGGCTGAGCCACCGAGCTTGGCCTATTACTTTCATTTTATTCTGGAGTCTGGATAAAGGGGACTTGCATTGTGCACAGGTCTTGTGGGGGTCACTGCTGCCTTTACTTGGGATAGTCTGCAGGAGCCCCAGTTGTGGGATAACTTGAGTCGGGTTTTTTTTTGGCCTGACTTTATTTATCTTCTGTGGAAACCTTAGGCATATGGCATTAAAGGTATGCAAATGAGAGTCCTTTTGTGTAGGGTTCTTGGAATGTCCAGGCCATTTCAGGGCTAATTTCAAACTGTACTGACCTTATATCTTTTTCTAGAAGTTGCCTGCCTCTCCCTTGGAATCTGCTGCCTCTGTTTTCCTGGGGACCAAGACAATAGAGAGCCCTTGGGTTAAAATTATCTGACTAGTTTGAATCAAGTGACTTGGAGGAAGCTCCTCTGGTTGGGTCCTCTAGTCTAGGACAGTAGTGCTTAGAAATTTTGGAACACCAACCCTTTGAAAATCTGAAGCTGAGGGCCCTCTCTGAATGATGCAGGCCAGCACATATGTAGCATTTTGTTTCATCTCAGCTTTCATGAATCTACAAAAGTATCTGTGTTGACTCCTAGTTTTGACCTTTTGCTGTAAGCAAATGGCAGTAACACAATAACATGACAACAGCAGTAATCTGTTACATATTTTTTTAAAAATACGTATTAAATTCTTCTGCATGCCAGTCACTGTACTAGACCCTGGAGGTGATAGGAGTGAACAGAACAGATGAAGTCTATTTCTAGCTTGCATCTTGTGTGTGAGAGCCCTCATGGTGAGGGAGCATTTGAACAGAAACTAGGGGTAAAGGAGTGAGCTCGTCATACTGGAAAGGAGCAAAGCAAAAGCCCTGATGTTGCTGTGAACTTGGGAGTTGGATGAATATAGTAAGGAGGCTAGCTGTGTGGCTGGAGGGAAGGGAGAAAGAAGGAGAGTTGTAGAAGATGAGTTCAGGGAGGCAGCAGTTCAGGCAGCCTCTTGTAGGCCATTCTAGGACTTTGTCTTTTACTCTAAGGGAGACTGAAAACTCTTGGAGGGCTTTGGGCAGGAGACTGACTTGACTTGGCTTAAGCTTTGAAGTGGAAGTTGACAAGCTACAGACTGTGGCCAAATTTAGTTCACTGCCTGTTTTTGTAAATAAAGTTTTATTGGAACACAGCCACACCCATTCCTATTGGCTTTGTCTGCTTGTGTGCTGTGATGGCAGAGTTGAGCAGTTACAATAGGGACCCTGTGGCCTGCAAAGCCTAAAATATTTATTACTTGGTACCTCTGCTTTAAAGGGTCACTTTGAATGTGAACCATTGAAAGGATGGAACTGTCATACACTAAGAGGGGACAGCTCCTGGGAGGAGAGGCAAGCTTAGGGGGGACATTAAGTGTCTGGTTTTGGGCTTAATTGAGATGCCCATTGGTCATCCCAGCGGAGATGTCAGGGACGCAGTGAAGATGTCTTTGGATGGTGAATCTGGAGTCAAGGGGGGAAGTCTGCGGTAGAGATACAAACTTAGGAAATACCATCATATCACTAATATTTGAAGCTATGTGACTTGGAACCATAGGGAACAGGTCTAGGAATTGAAACTGGGGCTCTCTAGAGGTTAAAGGTTGAACTGAGAAGAGGTAGAGAGGGGGACCAAGGCAGGATGACATCTCAGAAGCTGAGTAAGGAACAGATTCGCTGTGCCAGATATTGCCACAGGACAAGTAAGATAAGTACTGAGGATTGGCCTTAGGAGTAATGTGGAAGTCATTGGTGGCCTTGAAGGGAGTTGTGTCTGTGGAGTGGGTGGGGCCTGATTGGCATGAGTTCCTGAGAGAACAGAGGAGAGAGATTGAATAGACAGCTTAAGAGAGAGCAAGAATAGACAGCTCTGAGGAATTGTACTATAAAGAGGTGTAGAGAAGGAAGGCAGTTATGAGCCAAATTGTCAGTGAATCTCAAGGGATTCGATGAGTCTGGACTATGAACGACTGTTGTAAGGTTGGATAGTAAGTGGTATAGTCTGGCAGAATGAACTGCAAAACTGGAGTTTTCAGGGAAGACAGAGAATGATCTGGAAGTGGCAGTGAGGAGCAAAGGTACTTACATACTTCTAAGCCCTTAATATAAGAGAGATACAAGAGTGATACAAAGGACCACTGCTGTGAAGGCTGCAGGAGTAGCAGCATCATGGGGAAGGGCCTGGGTTTATTTAGAATGAGGTGGAGGGATGAATGTTTAGAAAGGAGACTGCCATTCTTTGGGATTTGCAAATGAAGGAAGTGAGTATCAGGGTGGGAGATTGCATCAGGTTAGGGGATTTCAGGGTAGTTCAGGGATCAGAGATGACTCTAGAGCCTTGGATTTCCTGTGGTGTTAATACAGTGAGCACCAGTTATTTATTGCATTCTACTATATACTTTAAATACAAGGAAGAATCCAAAAACCTGGAATTTATTTAAAAAAATTTGTGTATTTATTCTTACATGTTTAAACTTCAGTCCCCTTCCGAGTACTCTCCGTTTGATGCAATGTATCTATTGAGACTTTCCACTGCTCAAGACAGTTTTTGAACTCAACAATTTGGATGCCTCGAGTGCCATTTTTTGTTTTACCTCTTCCATATGGGCAGAACGTTTTCCTTTGAGGACTTTTCTTATCCATGGGAACAAAAAAAGTTGCTTGGGGCAAAATTGGGTGAGGGTGGGGCATGGGAGTCATGCTGTTTTGGACCAAAAACTGCTAAACACTCAGTGTGGTGTGGACAGGTGCATGGTAAATCACCCATCATGAAATGGGCAAATATGTTGAAAATCTCTAAAAAAAAAAATTCACTGAGGCCAGACACAGCCTCTCACAACACTAGCCTGATTCACTGATGCCGAAGGGTTCTAGAACACTTACGTAGCAGGGGAAGCCTGTACTACCAGGAGCCTACCCTCTAAATTCCGGGCTTTTTGGACCTCCCCCCCCATGTACATGATCTAATTGAATCCTCTCAACAGTCCTTTGGGATAAGTACAGTAATTATCTCTGTTTTGTGGTTGAGACAGCAGTTTCAGAGATAAAGTGACTTGGCTATAGTCACACTTGTTAATTTGCTGAGCTAGAAGTGAACTAGCCTTCCTGATTTCAGAGCCTGCATTCTTTATTCTTAAAGAAAAAAGACTGGTTTATGATACTCCTAGTGTGGATTTTTTGATGATCCATAGCTATAGGAATCTTCCATTAATTTTAGGTTCTCTCTTAGGTTTACTGTAGTTGAGATTTTGAGGTAAGGTAGCCTTTGACAGAAGTGCTCTTCCCTCTTCTCTTCCATTCCCACCTTCTATTAACCCATTCATTCATCCATCCAGACATCTATTCATGCATTCAGTAAACATTCCCTGAGTATCTACTTCATGCACTGGGTGGAGGAGAGAGAGAGATCAGATACAGTTTCTACCTTCTGAGGGTTTCCTTCTAGTGTGGGCTGGGGGAGGTGGCAAATAATTAAATTAGTACAGGGGTGCGGGTCTTCAGAGAGGAAAGATTTTATGGTAAAGGTGCCTCTATCTAACAGAGGCCTTGCACTTTGCTTATGGCTTGCCAATTACACTCAACATTTTTTGTCTTTTGCTGAGACACTAGGATTCCTCAACCAGGTGCTGTCTCCACAGTTGCCCAGAACATCCTGGGGCTTTTCTCTTCTGGAAAAGTGGGCATGAGTTGATAGAAATCATTTTCTCACTCAGCTTTTTGAGAGCCTGGACTTAAACCATTTCAGACAAGCTGTAGTGTATTTATGCTTTTTATGTTCTGTTATGGCAGCTAGATAGATTAATTTTGTCTTATAAATTGCATTTTGCCTCCCCAATGTTTTTATTCTCCCTGTTGAATCTTACTGTTCTTCTCAGTTGCTTGGCTACGTTTCAAGTCCATGGTTTTATTTATTTTTCTTTCTCTTTGCAATTGCCTGTAGCTCAGCCCCTTGTGGGAGCAGCCTACCAGGACAGCCCAGGAGAGCACAATGGAATTAAAACCACACCTTCTCTCTGGAGAGGAAAAGAAATGGACAGTGATCAGCAAACAAGCTACGAGATTGGTTAGAATCCAAACCCCGTGTGTGTTGAGCACCCTTAGGGATGCTTTCTCTAAAAATTATTTCTAAGCCTGTAACAGCCATCTCAGGGCTTCATTATCATTCCCATCTAACACATGGAGAAGCTGAGGTTTTTAAGTATAATTGACCCAGGGTCAGCCAGCTGGTAAGTAGGCAGAAGAGTCAGTGTATGGTGGGATGTCTGTCAGAGTTCACCAGTCCATGTGTCAAAACACTTTTCTACCAGGCTGTGGGCTGGGTTCTGGTGTTTCAGCCTCCAAAGACACAGCACTCGCTCTCAAGGGACCCATAGCTCAGAAGGGATGGTTATTTCAACAGCCCTTTGGTATTCAGTGTGGGGCTAGCTGTTGTTGATGTATGTACAAAGTTGTCCTGTGTGCCCAAGAGAAGTGGGTCTGAGGAGAGTCTGCAGCTGAGACTGGGTTTGTAGGTTTTATCAGGTAGATCTGTGAAAAGGCGCAGAGATGTGAGACCTCAGGCAAGTTGTAGTCCTTTCTTTTTAAAATTATGAAGTGTTATACGCATATAGATAAACACAGAGGATAATATAAAAATATCCATGTTCTCATTTAACCAGAATGAACAAATGCTTACATTTCTTCTTTTTAAGAGAAAAAAAAAGTCTTGCCTTTGTTGCTCAGGCTGGAGTGTAGTGGTATAATCATTGCCTTGTACTCCTGGGCTCAAGCCATCTTCCCACCTTAGCTTCCTGAATAGCTAGGACTATAGGCATGTGCCACCACGCCCAGCTAATTTAAAAAAAAAAAATTCTTTTTTTTTTTTTTTTTTTAGATATGGGGTCTCACTGTGTTGCCCAGGCTAGTTTCAAAATCCTGGCCTCAAATGATTTCCCCATTGCCTTGGCCTCCCAAAGTGCTGGGATTATAGGCATAAGCCTCCGCATCCAGCACATTCCTTCTTTTTACCTTAGCTTCTTTTTTCTCTTCGTTAAAAAAATAAATAAATTTTAAAATCACTGTTAGTCTAGATCTGATTCACTCTATGGGGAATAATTGTCCTCAGGAATCCAAAATTTGTCATGGCCATGGGAACATCAGTCTCTGGAGAGCTAGTGAGTTTTGAACCCTGTTCCCAATGGTACATGCTTTCCCAAGGCCCCAAGTCACTGCAGTGAATACCTGCTCACATGATCCTGAGTGGTCTGGGCTTTGAGGTCAAAGCTATGCTACCAGGCAATAAAGTACCTGTTAGCTGAATTGTGGGATGTTCTAGAACTAAAGTGTTTCTTATGATGCAAATAGATAGGACTGGGGACATCTTTTGATTTTTTTTCCTAGTTAGTGATTAGTAAAGACTTTTTGACTGATTGACAGCTTCTCTCCTCCTCAGTACTGCCCTTCATCACTGAACATCTCTCATTTTTCTGAATGTGCTTCCAGAACTTTGCACATGCTATTACCTCTGCGTCCGCCTTTAATTGTGGTCTAGCTGTTGCTGGGTGCTGCTGTGACTTCTTCGTGGCTGTTTCCTCTTCAGGAGCCCCTTGACAGATACTTGAGAAGTGAATGGCAGATGTTACTGGCCTTCACATAGAGGGTTCAGAATGCTCCCTCATTGCTCATGTACCCTAGGTGCAGGAGTTCCCCACTGCGGAAACAATATTTTAGAGCAGGGGTCCTCAAACTTTTAAAACAGGGGGCCAGTTCACTGTCCCTCAGACTGTTGGAGGGGCGGACTATAGTTTAAAAAAAAAAAACTATGAACAAATTCCTATGCACGCTGCACATATCTTATTTTGAAGTGAAAAAACAAAACGGGAACAAATATAATATTTAAAATGAAGAACAAGCAAAGTTAAATCAACAAACTTACCAGTATTTCAATGGGAACTATGGGCCTGCTTTTGGCTAATGAGATGATCAATGTCCGGTTCCATATTTGTCACTGCTAGTCGTAACAAGTGATGCAAGTATGCATCAGTTAGTCTAGATCTGGTTGGAGATTTCAGATGTTTCATTCTGGAAAAAGTCTTTTCACAGACATATGTGCTGCCAAAGATGGTTGCCATTTTGAGTGCATGGTTCCTGAGATTACTGAGAGGAGGAGTCGAGAGACAGAGAGAAGGAGGGGAGTCGGAGAATGCGACGCACATTCCACACATGCGCACTGTGGCCTGGATGAGTCGGCTGCTAGGCAGGACAGGCAGCGGAGGCAAAAACACCCAGTGGGCCGGATAAATGTCCTCGGCGGGCCGCATGTGGCCTGCGGGCTGTAGTTTGAGGACCCCTGTTTTAGAGTGTTAAGGGCAGGCTGCAGGCTTGATGAAGCACTCTGCTGCACATTCATCCTAAACCTCAGGCAAATTCTTAAGTTCTCTGAGCCTCAACCTTCTCTTCTGTAAAATGGGGATACTGGTGATGCCTCACGATTCCTTAAGTAAAATCATCAGAACTAATCTTTATTCCCATGAGTGAACATTACTTTTTGCCTTGAAGTACAGACCAAATTCCTTTAGCATGAAGTTGTAGCAACAAAGTCTTGGAGGGTAAGTCACTGGAGCAAAACCTTGTTGAGAACTCTCTCCCTCATTCTCTCCTTTGCTTTTTCCCTCCTTCCACCCTGCTTACCCACTCATACTTGTTCAGCTAGTAGTACTTGCTGAGTACATTCTCTATTGCAGACCCTGTGTCAGACACTGGAAACAGACATGGGTGACACGGGCTCCTCCCTCAAGTCCCTCACTGACTAGTGATCATAACAAATTGTGCACAGTAAAGATGCTGTATTAGGAATACTTTCTTCAGGTCATGTAGCAACTGCTTTCTAAAATGAAAAGTTTTCTTTTAAGGTATTTGCATCATGAGCAGAGAGATAGGAGTGTACCTAAAGTCACTAGGAGTAGATTGCTGAACCAGTAATTGGGACATGCAATCTGATGAGAATTTTTGTGTTGTTTTCTTTCTAAGAGACCTCCTAGATCATCCAGTTCAGCTGACATTATTGCTTTTGTAGCATTTCCCGAGGCTGGTCTTTACTTGCACACCTCCAGTGATGGGCATCACTTTCTGTCCTTGAACGGTTAAAGCATGATCTTATTATGTAGATTCTGTCACTACTATGTGCCAGATACCATGTTAGCGTTTCTCTTTTTCCCCCCAGTTATTTTTCCATGTAATTCTAAGAAGAAAGACAAAAACACACAACTTTTCACAATGAATGATGCTTTTTTTCCATTTTACAGGTAAAGCTACTGAGGCTCAGAGAGGTAACTTGCCTAAGGCCATGCAATTAATAAGTGGCAGAGCCAGAGTTTGATTTGGATCTAGTCTGTTGGATTTCAGAAATTTTCCTACTACATACTGCTTGTTACCTCTTAAGTATCAAACAACTGTATTGAGCTGAACTTTCCCTGGACATCAAGCAGTGTGGTACAGTGGTTAAGAACAGAAGCTCTGGAGTAAGGCCTGCGCCTGAGGCCTCACTATAACCATATTGGGCATCACTTTCCTCATTCTACTTACAGGGGAAACTGAGGCTCTGGGATAGTAAGTTACTTGCCTCAGGCTATGCATCCTTCAAAACTATATATTCTTTCTGCTGTATCACCTTAGCTCTCAAACAATTTTGGCTGCATCTCTAAGGGTTCAGCTAGTTATAAGGAAATATTTCCTGACAGGATTGTGAGTTAGTGAAACAGCTCACTGAAGGGGACATCATGGCATCTCCTGGGAACTGGAAACTGGTAGACATGGAAATGAGAAGACTCTCACTTGTTATGGATATTTATTATTATTTTATGTTATTATTATTAATTTGTGTTCTTGAGACAGGGTCTTAACTCTGTTGCTCAGGCTGGAGTGCAGTGGTGTGATCCTAGCTCACCGCAGCCTCGACATCTTGGGCTCAAGCGATCCTTCCACCTCAGCCTCTTGAGTAACTGGAACTACAGGGGCATGCCACCATGGCCAGCTAATTTTTGTATTTTTTGTAGAGACAAAGACTCACTGTATTGCCAAGGCTGGTTTCGAGCTCCTGGCTTCCCAAAGTGCTGGGATTACAGGCATGGGCCACTATGCCCGGTCTGTTGTAGATATTTAGAATTACTACTCTATACTGTTTCTTCACTGAGTCTCTCAACATTTCTGAGTCTGTCACTGACTCTTGGTCTTGGTAAGATACTGTCCTAGGCACTGAGAGTGTGAAGGTAGAAGGCCACACCCCTGTTGTAAAGAACCTTTCTGTGAGAAAGAAGGCATTCAGATAACAAATTGCTATGTGAATGAATAAATAAGCCAATTGTAATTTCTACATTAGCACCCAACACATTGTATATTTGTCTTGAGTAATATATAAGGTACTATAGAATTAACAGAGGGGAGTGACTTTTTTTTTTCCCAAACTGAGACAGAGTCTGACTCTGTCGCCCAGGCTGGAGTGCAGTGGCACAATTATAGTTCACTGAAGGCTCCAGCTCCTGGGCTCAAGCAATTCTTCTGCCTCAGTCTCCTGCTTGTTACCTCCTGAGTAGCTGGAACTACAGGCATGTGCCACCATGGCTAATTTTTAAAAATATTTGTGTAGAGCTGGAGTCTCACTATGTTGCCCTGTCTTGTCTTGAACTTCTGGCAGGAGTAACTTCTGCATAGTTTGAAGGTGAGCTTGCAAAGGTAGGAAAATTAGATGTGGTTATTGAAGAAGTTTATTGAGTGGGAATAGAATAGAGGGCCAGGGGTGTTCCAGGCAGAGAGCACAGCACATGCAAAAGCATAGAGCCATAAAATAGCATGGTGTGTGTGCAGACAATTATGGTTAGTTTAGTAGGAAAACTCTGTGGGTGGTGCCAGGGATATTCCTGGAAAGGTTGCCTGGCACTAGATCATGAAAGACCTCAGGTAGAGAGTGGGAATATTGATGAGTTTCAGGTGTGTGCATGGGGCGACTAAATCTATTTTGTAGAACAGTTGCTCTGAGGAAGATGATTGAGGGGTAAGAGGGAAAGACCGGAGGCAGGGAGGCAAGCTTCTTAAAAGACTGTTGCAGTGGTTTTAGCTCAACCATGCCTGTGAGGAAGGAGAGAGGGGGTGGATTTCAGCAAAGGCAATACTGACATAAACGTATTTGATTTTTCAGACTCTGAAATTTGCCCTTCTGATGACCTTGCCATCTTGCCATCATGCAAAGAACGTTCTGAAGATTTCCTGAACCCAACTTCTGTAGCTACTTGTGTGGCTTCTATGAGTCAGCCTTCTCTTAAAGTCCGTGTGATTGGGACTCGTCAGGCTGAGGACAGGGATACTTCAAATGACACAGAACATTTGAAACAGAAAATCCTTGACTTGGAAACTGAGCTGGAAGGCTACCAGAATTTCATATCTCGGCTTCAAAAGCACTCCCAGTGTAGTGAGGCCATTATCACAGTTTTGTGTGGGACAGAAGGGGCCCAGGATGGCTTTGGCAAACCCAAGAGCAGTGCCAACGAAGAAGAAATGACATTTTCAAGCTTGCATCAAGTACGGTACGTGAAGCACATGAAAATCCTCCATCCACTGGCCCCAAAGATGATGGATAGCAGGTTGCTCGAGAGCCTCAGACGGCAACTGGTGGAGCAGGGGTACGAGCTGCAGAAGGAGCAGAATTTGAACATGGAACTTTTCAGTGAAATCCATAACCTGCAGAATAAGTTCAGAGATCTCTCACAATCAAGGTACATCCCACCTATGCCTTCTCCCGCAGTTTAAGCCTGTAGTCCCCAGTATTGCCCATAAGTGAAAGGGAGAGCTGTTCTGCGGTGGGTGGAGTATGTTCTGGGGAAGGCTTGGGGTGGGATTCCGGCAGCGAGGGCCTTCAGAAAAGTGAGACGTGAGGCCGTGAAGAATAGGAATAGTGCCCTCACACACAAATGTAATTTCCCTCCGAAATTGGCAGGGCAGATTTGCCCTCCTCAGGTTGGGGTCAAGGTTTCGTACCAGTCACTTGGTAAGTGATAGTGCTTTTGCTGAACTGAAGTGTTTTCTCCTAGAGTTCATTATTAGCTTTTGCTGTGTTGTGCAGGGTGGGAGGAGTACAAGATTTTTCATATCTTTACCCTTTAAGGTCATCTGAGAGAAATAAGCTTGTGTTGAAAGAGAAGAATTCTTAGGTCATGAAGATAATGCTTTATGGGTATAGATATGAACAGTTTTACTTCATGAGATATGGCAAAAATGGGATCATTTGTAAAGTTAACCTTCATTTGTCACTAATTTGAGACAAACACATTGTTCTGAATTGTCAGGAACCAGGGTGAATTTTTCATAATTTCCCAAGCAGTGAGATTGAAGGAAGCTTGTAATTACTGAAAAGTTGTTGTCTCAGGCCCCTGGTTAGGCACTTTTCTTTTTCTTGTTTAATCCTCAAAATCACCTGAGAAGGAGATGTTCTTAAACTTGTTTTCATAGAGAAGGAAACTAAGCCTCAAAGAGGTTGTTCTGACTTCCTCGAGCGCATTCACAGAGCTGGTCAGAGCCATTGCCAGCGTTCCGGTCCACATTATTCCACTCCAGTATTCATGTTCTTTCTCTTCCATTAACCTGGCCTTCACCTTTAATACTGGTGTCATGTGATCTGTCTGTGCATACTTAATGTCGAAAGTGACTGTCAGGCCCACTTACTGCTATCATTTCAGGGAAGGGGAAGCATGTTCAACTGAAGGGTCAGCACCTTTGCCAAGCTGCTCTCTGGAGCCAGGCAACAGTTGATATGAGCCCTGATTCCCTTAACCTGCGTTTCTGGGTGCCTTTACTTTGTGGGCTCACACAGGAGAAGATGGCACATGGTGGTAAGGAAATAGTATTATAATAGAGCTTTGAAGTCAGAATTTTAATATGTTTGAATCCCAAATCTTTACCATTTAATAAACTTTGTGATTAGTTTACTCTTCTGTAAACGGGGACATTTACACATTTGTTGAAAGACAGGGAAAGTCAGATAACTTACATAAAACACTGAATTCAGTGACTGACATGTGTAGACTCTCCATAAATGGCAGTTAGGATCATGGCTATTCCCTGACCTTTCCATTGGGAGCAGAAAGTACTATCTTCTTTTCCTTGCCTTACAGTTGCTTTTTTATACTTCATGAACATTTTCAGTAGGTCCTCTGACTCTGGGATCACTTGTTTCTACAATTCAGAATAGTATTTTTGAAGAGTGTATGGAAACTAATTGTTTGCCTTAGTCCTTGCTAATCTGTACTTTAATTGGAGGTTTTTATAAGGTTAAAAATGTTGCAGAAGAATCTCTGTTCCAGCATTTGTTGGCTGTTGGAAATTGAAGGAGTGACCTTGTGCAGTTTCAATTTTTCTAAAAGTATATATATTTGTATGGCTGCAAGCTTTTAAAAATTGTGCTCTATCATTTTTCCAATTAGTATTAAGGTCACAAAAATTCAATTCTAAAATGGTCCAAGCGTTTTCTTCCCCTCTTTTATCAGATACAATTCATTAGTTCAGTCCCAAGCCAGAGAGCTCTCCCTTCATCGGCAGCAGATTAAGGATGGCCATGGCATCTGTGTCATTTTCCATGAACGCATGAACACCATGATTAAGGCATTTGAGGAGCTGCTGCAGGCCAGCGACGTGGACTGCTGCGTGGCTGAGGGTTTCCAGGAACAACTGAATCAATGTGCTGAACTGCTGGAGGAGCTGGAAAAGCTCTTCCTTACTGGTAAGTGGGATGAGGTCCACGAGTACTGAGACTTCAGTAATTGTCCCAGGACTTCTTGGAGGGGAACGGGGAGAACTGACTCCTTGGCCTTGCTTAACTCCTGCCTTGATGAGGTGGCAACAGAACCACACTGGCTGCTGCTTCCTCCAGTGACCGCTTCCATGGGGTTTGTGGGCTGCATGGGTCTAAACAGGAGTCCACTTTGGATGCCTCAGGGCCAGTTGGTGCAGTGCATGAGGGAGGAAAAGTGGGAGGTGCTGCTGCCCAGCACTGGCCATGTGGTTGCTGGTTCTTGCAAACTTTCCAGAGAAGGTGTGTGTGTGTGTGTGTGTGTGTGTGTGTGTGTGTGTGTGTTTGTGTGTGTGTGAGAGAAAACTCATGCATTTTAAATGCTGACAACTGAAAAACCCAACGAAACAAAACTTACTAGTTAAAAAGTATATCTAAGAGTTAGGAGAGGCCACAGGAAGGACTAAAGGAAACCTTTGCTAAAGCTTGGCTGTGTGCTAGGTACTTTAATAAATGTTACATTTGTTAAAATGCATCACAGCATGTTTTAAAATATTTTTTTTCCTGAGACTACGGCAAAGAACTCCCATCACTCAACTTCACTCAACTTCAGCATTTTGCCTCACTTGTTTTATTATTCCCTCTCTGGATACACATGCACACATACTATTATTATTATCTTTCTGAACCCTATGAGAGAGAATTGACAATACCATGTTCCTTTCTTTCTAGATACTTCAGTGTGTAGTTCTCATACCAAGGACATTCTCTTACATAACCACAGATAATTATCAAAATCAGAATTAGTATTGTCTAACATACTATTGTCTAATACAGTCCAACCTGTTTTAATGTTTATAATTGATTCCCTAATGCCTTTTATGTTAGTTTTATTCTGGATCCTAATCCTAATCCAGTCCCAGATTACATTTTGTTGTCATGGCTGTTTGGTCTCCTTTGTCTGGAGTAGTTCCTCACCCTTTCTTTCATGACATTAACATAATGGAATAGTTCAAGCTAGTACTTCACTTTGGGATTATCTGTTGTTTCCTCATGATTAGATTTACAATTAGATTAGTCAGATTAGATTAGTTATGCATTTTTGGTGGGAATAAAGCATTTGTTGTTGTTGTCATGGTATTGCCTTAAGGAGGCACACGATACCAGTTTGTCCCATTTTTGGTGATGTTAACTTTGATTGCTTGGTTAAGGTGATGCAATCAAATTTCTCCAATGTAAATTCTGATATTTCCCTGTATAGTGAATAAGTAATTAGTGGGGCATACTTTGTAACTCTGGAAGTATTCTGTTCTCTTTCAAACTTTTTTTTTTTTTAGTTGAGTTCTCACGCTGTCACCCAGACTGGAGTGCAGTGGCACAATCATGGCTCACCGTAGCCTTGACCTCCTGGGTTTAGGTGATTCTTCCTCCTCTGTCTTACCAGTAGCTGGCACTATATGTGTGCCTCACCACGCCCAGCTAATTTTTGGATTTTTTGTAGAGATGATGTCTTGCTGTGTTGCCTAGGCTGATCTCAAGCTCCTAGACATGATCCTTCTGCCTTGGCTTCCCAAATGCTGGGATTACACTGTGTCCAGCTGCCCTTCAGACTTTTACCATGAGTTTTACCATTCACTGATGATTCGTATCTGAGTCAGATGTTACTCTGATAGTGGCAACAAGGTGATTTTTCTTTCTGGTACCATCATTCCTTCTTCATCTATATTATTAGGTGGTATCTACTAGAAGGATGCATTCTCCATTAAATTTTTACTTATGTATTTGCTTATTATTAGTGTGGATTTATAGATTCTTATTTTATTCATCTTGTCATTCATGTTATATTGTCCCAGATTTGGCAAGTGGCAATTCCTTTTGACATGTCTCTATCTTTTTGGAGCACTTCTTTTCTTTATAGCACAAAAAAGAGGTTCCACACTCATTTTGTACTGTCCCTGGGACATTTCTCCAAGCAGGTTTGGTTTATTTTAGTGGGGAATGATATTTAACAACCAAGATTTGGTTCTAGGTGTGTTCATTGCTACTAGGGTGTCATTATTTCTAGGCCCTTTAGCAAACCTAAGTGGTATGTGTGTATGTGTGTGTGTTAATCATAATTTATTTAAAACATCATTACTTCACAATGGTTTCTTCAGTTCCAGTCCAAACCCACAGGGTTTGTCCTTGTTTTTCCTGCTTCCATGCTTGTATTTTCCTTCTCCAACAGGAGCACACTGGCTCTGACAACATCAATATAACTGCTGATTTGCTTGATTCTATATATATGCAGATATATCATAGAATACAGAATTATTCCACCTATGCCCCTGTGACAAACCTACTGGAAGAGTTCAAAATTTATTTATGGTAGTTCTTTTTGTTAAGATAAAAGTTTATAGTCAGGTCTTGAATTTACAAGTTACTTCGTTTCATTCTTTCTACAGTGTTATCCTTTGAAATACAATTAGATTCTTTTGTTTCTATGTGTATTCAACTTTAAAGTTTTTACCCCATCCTTGTTGATTTAATTTTTTAAATAGGAAAAACATTAATGTAGTTCATCTCCATTAGTGTTGCTTTCTAGTTCCCCTTTCTCCCTTAAACCCCACTGGACTGGCCTCTTAGTCATCCCAACCTTTTTGCTGAAATGATTTGGCTATCACTAACAACATCCACTTTGCCAAGTCCAAGGATCAGTTTTCAGCCGTCTTGTTCAGACTATAGCAATATTTAACATGGCGACCTCTCCTTCCTCTGCTCACTTGGCTTCTGGAGGACCCACTGAGAGTTTATGTCTCCTCTCCCTCCCTGACTGGCCTTGTGTAGCTCCACCTTCCACATGCCTTCCATTTCTTACCCCTTGTGAACTTTGTTGCCACTGCTCCAGCTGGCCTCTCACCTCACCTGGACACTGCAGGCTTCTTCTTCCTGGCCTTTGGCTTCCACCCTTGCTTCACTATAGTGCATTTCCCACACAGTAGTCAGAATAATCTTTTCAAATTAAAAGTCAGATCATGCTTTCTCTGCCCCTAAATCAAAACCTTTCCTTTTCAGTCAGTATCCAAGTCCAGATAAGGTTGTGCAAAGCCCTGTACCACTGCCCCTGCCCTCTCTGACCTCATCTTCTACTGCCCCATCCTCCCCACCTTTCCTCTTCCCAGCCACTGAGCCTGCAGTTTTTCCATCATGTCCAGGAATGCTCCTTCCTCAGGGCCATCGCACTTTCTCTTCTCTTTGGTATACTTGATCTCATCAAGCTTTTTTTTTTTTTTGAGTGGAAGTCTCACTCTGTCACCCAGACTGGAGTGCAGTGGCCGCTTCTGGCCACCGCAGCCTCGACCTGCTGGGCTCTGGCGATCCTTCCGCCTCAGCCTTCCAAGTAGCCGGAATTACAGGTATGTGCTACCACGCCCGGCTGATTTTTTGATTTATTGTAGAGATGAGGTCTCGCTGCCCAGGCGGGTCTCGAACCCGCGGGCTCAGGCAATCCACTCACCTCAGCCTCCCAAAGGCGCGGGATTACAGGCTGAGCCACCGAGCCCGGCTTCATCAAGCTTTTTCTCAAATGTTATCTTCTTGGCGAAACCTTCTTTTATAACTCTCTATAAAATAGCAAGGCACCCCTGCCCCATCACTGGCACTCCCCTTTCCCCTTACCCTGCTATATTTTCCTCTATTCTGCTTGTCGCCATCTTGCATGCTATACATTTACTTGTTATTATGCCTTCCCTGTTAGAAAGTAAGCCCCACAAGGGTGCACAGATCGCATCTGCTGTGTTTGTTGTCGATGTCTGGCATATAGTATATATTCAAGTCATATTTTTTGAGAGAATGACTAAATGAATGAGTGAATGACAGAATCTAGTTTTATAGCTATGGAGAGTGTGGCCCAGTGAGAGTAAGTAACTCAGCAGGGATAGAAATTCAAATCAGGTCTCCAGACAAAACACTCTATTAGATCTGCTTGTGTTTCACTTGGTGTCATCATATATGTTATTTGATTTAAACTTCACTGTGTCCTTGGAAGCACAAGGTATTAACCCAGTTTTATAGATGATGAACCTGAGGCATAGAAATATATTACCTTATATATCTTTTTTTTTTGAGTTGGAGTCTCACTCTGTCACCCTGGCTGTGGTACAGTGGCACCCTCACGGCCACCCCAGCGTTGACCTGCTGGGCTTCGGTGATCCTTCTGCTTCAGCCTTCCAAGTAACCGGAACTACAGGCATGCACTACCATGCCTGGCTAATTTTTAATTTTTTTATTGTAGAGACAAGGTTTCGCCAAGTTGCCTGGGCTGATCCTGAACCCATGGGCTCAGGCAATCCACTCTCCTCGGTCTCCCAAAGTGCTGGGATTACAGGCTGAGCCACTGAGCTCGGCCTACCTTACAATATCTAACTAAGTGGGCCTAGTGGTAAAGAGTGCAGTCGTTGGAGTTGGTCTGGCAAGACCAGAGCTCTGGCTTTCCAGTTGTAAGCTGTACAATTTCCCAAGTAAACCTTGGGAAATCTACTTAATTCCTTGCCTCAGTTTCTTTACTTGTAAACTTAGCATCCTAATACCAAATTCACAGAATCATCATAAAGGTAAAATTTAGTAATGAATGTGAAGCCTTGCTTGGCTTAATGCTTGTTTCATGACTTTTATGTGCTGAGTGCTTACTAGTATTTATACTTATTGTGAGTTGGAGCTTAATTCTCAGAACAGCCTATTTTTCAGGTGAGGAATTAGCTTTTATGGAGGAAAGTATGTTACTCAAAGTCACAATTGACTTGGTGGAACCAGGATTTGACTCTGTTTTTCTGTCATCATATGTACAAAACATGGTTTATGAGGGTTCACATCTTTCACTTAACTTCAAGATAGAACATGGGATAGTTTGCCCATCTTGGCACAGTGAATGTTTTTTCCTGACTGTTCCAAGGGCCTAACTCTGCTTAGACCTGTTATAGGCTGATTTTCCTAGTACCAGTTCCCCAGGACTT